CTTGGTACTCCCCTGAAAAATGTTATATATGGAGGTGCAGGCCAAATTTCTCTCTACAAAATCTGCTATGTCACTATGTGCCCAAATTCGGTGCTAACGAGATATGATGATAGACATTTTAGCTTTATTTACAGTGTTTTTATATAGAATTAGCCATTTTTTCGCATTAAGTTTATAAATTGCTAATCTATTTAATATTAGAATTTATAGTGGATCTTTTGTTATTTTAGTAAGTAAATCGAATATATTTGACACAATTTCAAACATGAGTATCGATTTTGAAGAACTCAATGTAAACGTGTCACATATACGATGGAATCATCCGAGTATAAATATGATACAATCATTACTATAACTAAATAAAGATCTGTCGATGGAAAGTACCATTAAGATCATTACCTATTTTTCATAATGAAAGTTTTCCTAATATTAATAAATTGCCAACAGTAAGTGAATTCATTGCTTATTAAGAAATAATATAGTTGATGTAGATTGGAATGAGACATGATACTTGATAAACTTTCAGATTTTTAAACAGATCTATCAACTCTTTGTGATTTTCTCAAATCAGACCATCTCTAAGAAAAATGTAATGCATATTCATCGAAAAAATAATTTTTTTTTTAGTAAAATCTCATTGACAGATCTTTATTTAGTTATAGTAATGGTTGTATCATATTTATACTTGGATGATTCCATCGTATATGTGACACGTTTACATTGAGTTCTTCAAAATCAATACTCATGTTTGAAATTGTGTCGAATATATTCGATTTACTTAATAAAATAACAAAAGATCCACTATAAATTCTAATGTTAAAAAGATTAGCAATTCATAAGCTTAATGCGAAAAAATGGCTAATTCTATATAAAAACGCTGTAAATAAAGCTAAAATGTCTATCATCATATCTCGTTAGCGCCGAATTTGGGCACATAGTGACATAGCAGATTTTGTAGAGTGAAATTTGGCCTGCACCTCCATATATAACATTTTTCAGGGGAGTACCAAGCAGGGACTATTTCAGGAAAAAATTATTATGATAATTAATCCAGGTATAGTTGTATTTACCATTACATGATGAAAATTTTCATGTTGAAATCGACCCTATTTGGTACTCCCCTGAAAAGTGTTATATATGGATGTGTAGATCAAATTTCACTCTACAAAATCTGCTATGTCACTATGTGCCCAAACTCGACGCTAACGAGATATGACGATAGACATCTTAGCTTTATTTACAGTGTTTTTATATAGAATTAGCCATTTTTTCGCATTAAGCTTATAAATTGCTAATCTGTTTAACATTAGAATTTATAGTGGATCTTTTGTTATTTTAGTAAGTACATCGGATATATTCTACACAATTTCAAAAATGATAATCGATTTGGAGAAAGCCATGTATAAAGTATCATATATATGATGAAATGATCCACATAAATACATACATGTTGCAATTGCTAGTACAATGAATTAGAATATTTTGTCAACAATGGATGATTAGAACGAATAGAATGTTCTCAGCTCATTAATATCGATATTTTGTACGCATATATATATTGATGATGAATACAACACGTCTTGTAAATCATCTAAATGATCTACGAAGGAACGTCTCAAGTGTGATTCATCAATAAAACTGATATTTTTCTCGTAAATATGTCTCGACGAGAGTAGAAAAGGTCAATAAAGGTTGATCTCCATGCTCTATTCTTCCTAGATCATTCCAGTTTTATTAAATTTTTAATCTCTAGCAAAATATTTGTGGAAATATCAAATTATCTAATTTCAATATGAAATTTTATCTATAGGCAGTTCTTGTGAATCTCAAAATGTGCTGAATATTTCATCCCAAAAAAGATGTATTGTTCTTGAGATATGGGATATTCAAAAGCCATCATATTTAACAAGGAAAGGTATGAAAGTCCAGTATTTTCAAGATTTGGTATCTCAAGAACAACACATCCTTCTGGGCTACAATTATTAGAAAATTCTCAAGTTTACGAGACCAACCTACGGGTAAAATTTCACATCGAAGTTTCATATTTTATTATTTCACCAATATTTTAACAAACATGCAATATTAAATAAAATTGTAATAACTTGGGAATTATTTATATCAGTAAGAATGTACAATTTCAGTATTGGACATCATTTTAAGAATCTTTTTTTCAAAAGTGTAAAGTACTTATGTTATACAGTTTTTGGACACTGAAAATCTAAAAAGTTCCAATTCTTTAAAAACGCATTTCTTATTTTTATTTTTAAACAATACGAGATCAACTAATGTAGGTATTATCTATACAACAACTGCTCGTCTTAATAAGAAAGTTGAATTAATATTTGACATGATTAAATTCTCTTCTTTGATTTAATTTAATATTAAAAGAATTCATTAATAAAAAAACCTCATGACGTTTCGTATCTCCTTTTTTTGGTCATCCCCTCTTGAATTATATTCTGATTCATATAATTTATAAGAGAATTTGCTTAAAATCATAGAATATTACACTATAAACTTGAGTTCCAGTCCCGTAAATTTTTTTTTTCTCCTGATCCTGCACAGCTTTAGTTGGCATTCGTCATCGAGGAAACTCGTGCTTATGCAGCTCTGCATTAGACATTAATAATAATAACAAATAACTTAACATACAAGTGAAAATACAACAAAAATCTATCAGACTTTTTTCTTTGATAGTGATATGGAAAAACACGACGATAATACTGATCGATTCCTTTTCCATGTCAATATCAAAAATATTCTGATTTGTGTTTGTTCTATTTTCATTTTTATGACAATATTTAACATTATATTTTTGAATCATATCAAGTCTCAATAATAAATAATATTCATATAGATTAAAATAATATTTTAGTTTGGCAGTGCTGAATTATACTATCGACTAGTCAATTCCAAAGATGCAGTTAATCAATCAAATTTACCCTTATCACCAAATCATCGAAATCTATACTTTTATCCTCCACAAGTAAGTTAATCAACTATTATATTTAAATTAAAATTCGAAAATAATTGAAAATTTCATCTCTATATCCTATGACTATTATTTAGTTTACCGATCGATCATACATATAATAGGTATTAACTACTTTTTTTGTAGCCTATTCTTCTCCTTTTCTTCCTTTTTTTCTTTAACTATCTATCATTAAATTTGTTTGTATTCTTTTTTTGTTTTTGTTTTAGGATTAATATTTCAACTTCAAAAATACATCATAATATTTTCTCTCTTGTGAATATTTTTTTATATATACATGAAAAAGAATAAGTTTTTTTTTTCTTTTTGTTCATAGACTATTTTATTTGGGTTTGTTTTTTTCTGAATGATGATAATGCAAATGAACATATATAGTGAAGCAAAGACACAGCGAAAAAAAAAAACAAACAGAGAGAAAAGAAAATCAAATAAGCAGAATAGTAGCAATAGCGATTGTAATAGGACGACAATAAAAAGACCAAATGAAGAGAAAAAAAAACGAGAATAATTGCAATGAAATGAGAAAAAAAAGAAAGAGAGAGAGAAATCTCGTTTTTTTTATATAAGATGACTTATGTTTTGATATAAGATGTGTTTAACACATTTTAAATGTATATTGTCGTCATTTTGTTCAATTAATTATGCTCGTATTGTATAAAGCACAAAAAGACAAGAAAAAATTTGTTAATCAAGCGCACAAAAAACAAAAACAAAATGAATCGAAGCTGGTTGACGACAATAAAGTTAAAAGAATAAAAGTGTCAGTCAATAAATAGAAGATCGTCCTTCAATGAATATAATTTTCATTAGAGACTAAATAAATATAGAAAAATTCATAACAATTTTATATTTTATAATTTGTTCGTACTTATAAAAATGGTAATTACCTAAAATAAAAATAAAAAAGAATATTAATTAATGAAATATATATATATGTTTTTCGCTACTGATATTTATATATATATATATACATGTAATATATAAGCACAATTATACACAACAAGCAAGCATTAGATGTAAGTGAATTAAACGCAATAAGAAGTTTTTTATACCGAATACAACAGAGAAAGTGGTATTAGAACAGAGAATGATTTTCTTTTTACCACTTTAAAATTTAATGTTGATGACTAGTTGTTGTTGTTGTCGGATCCGTACAGAAACAATCATCCGAATGATGAGAAGAAGAATGTGGAGAAACAGATGTAATAGGAGAAGAAGTTATTTCTTCTTTTATTAATGATGATCGAGGAGGTACTTGACTACCTCCTAACGAACCGGGATGTGAATGAGTTTTTTTCTTAGAATCTCCACTAGTTATTTCAGTAGGAAAAAGTGTTGGTGTTGAAGAAACAGATGAAGATTGTTTTTTTCTTTTAATAGGATTTGTATTTACAAACGGAGGTAAAAATGGTAAATCAGTTGCTGATTGAGTTTGTTGATGTTGTTTAAAACTAGATAAATCAGTTTCAGCTTGTAATAAACGATGTTGTTGATAAGATGGATGTGAATGTTGTTGAGAATATATCACAGAACGAGATGTTGATGAAAATGATGATGATGATGATGAACTTGATGATGGTGTTTTAAGACGTCTTGATATATTTTCATTATTTGGTGCTGATAAACGACGTTTATCATGACTAGATAATGTTGTTTGATTATGAAGAAAATCTTCATCTGATGAAAATAGATTTCTTTCTTGATTTTTAATATCATCATGTGTTATTTCAACATAATCATCATCAAATGAATGATGTTGAGATTTATATATAACTGTTGTTGCATCAGATTGTGATGATATTGAATGTGTTAAATCATTTGTCATATCAAGTATATCATTAAGAACATTTTCAACATCATTTTGTATTGATGTAAAATGTTTTTCAATAAATGTTTCAACTTTATTATTATCATCATGTTGTTGTGTTAATGATTCAACTGATGAACGTATTTCACGTACAATATCAATAATATTTGTTGTTGATGTATTTTTTAATAATTCCATTTCAATACGTTCAAATTCCATTAATGAATCATCTGTATTTGGTGTATTTGATGAATTACGTTCAGTTGAATATGGACGATTAGTTTCACTTGGTGTTAAACTTAATGTACTTATAGCTGATTTAATTTCTTCTTGTCGTAATTCAGGACTTTCATAAACAGTTTCTAATGTTGTACCAGAACGTAAATCAAAACCTGTATCAAGTGGTGGATAATCACATTGATGTTGAAGTATATCAATTAAATCAGGACTTTCATGTTTTTCCGATGAACTTGATGATGTATTTGATGGTGTATCATTTTTAATATCTTTTGTATTTGTTGGTGGTGATAAATTTTTTACTAAAACAAATTCATCCGACATATCTGTCATATCACGTTCACCTAATTCAATTGATGAATCATCTAATGAACGTGGTGTATAACGATTAATAGGTGAAATATTTTCAATTAATTCATTTGTTGGATTTAACATTTCTATTGGACTACTTGATGGTTGTTGATTATCTTGTTTTGTATAATAACTAAAAGCAGATGTTTGTTGATTTGATGAAGATTTTTTTTCTATTTGATCTGTTTTTAATTGATCAAAAAATAATGTTGATGATGGTGTATATTGTTCTTGTACATGAATTATAATACAACTATCTGAACTAAAACGTTGTAATGTACCATAATCAAGTTCATCTGGACATGCTTGTAATAATTGTTCACTATGTGCATGAATAATTGTTGATGGTTGTACAATAGATGGTAATGAACGATCAAGACTTTGATCAGTAAATGGTGATATTATATCTGATTTATTTGTATTTTCTTCTCCAGCTAATGTTTTTTCAACTAAACGATCTAATGAACGTTCAAATTTTAATTTTATTTTATCAATAAATGATTCTTTATCATGATAAATATCATTTAATTTTTCTTGTATTGTTGTTTTAATTGAATCAACTAATGTTGAATCACGATCACTTTCACTTCCAGCATCATATTCAGATGATGATAAAATTTTTTTTGTTAATTGCATTGTTGTTGGTGTTGATGTTGATGGATAAATTTCTTTATCATATTGAAAATCTAATTCTAAATCACTTTTAATTGTTTTTAAATTACTACGAAGTATTTCTTCTTGTAAAATTTTTATTATTGATTTATCATTTGAATCATTTAATGGTGAATCAAGACTTTCTTGTCTTGGCATTGCTATTCCACTACTTGTTGATAAACGTGGAGAACGTTGAAAATTTTCATTTAAATCTAATTTAAATGAAACACTTTTTGTTGTTGTTGGTTGTGATATTGTTGTTGATTCTAATGTATTTGTTGTTAAATCATTTAATAAAGAAGAACGTTGTTCATTTGAACGTTTTCGTCGTTGTTGAATATGAATTTTATTACTACTACTACTTTCTTCACCTTCACCGGAATATTTTTCTTCAGATATTTTTTCATTTGTTATCATAAAATTTTCTTGACGATTTTTATTTGAATAATTTTCATCTGAACTTGAATCATTATATGCATAATTTATTTTACCACGTTCATTATGATAATCATTATCATCAGATGTTAATAAATTTGGTGTTTCATCATTAGCTGTTAAATATTGACTAGAATTTGATTGTGTATAATATTGAGGACCTAATTTATCATCATCAACTGTTGAATAAGTACTATGAGCATCAACATAATCACCACTTGATGGTGATACTATACTAAAATATGTGCCTGTATCTGATTGAGAACTATGATGAACAATCGATGGTGATATTAATGCAGTTGGTGTTTGTTCATCAATAAGATCTTCAGTATATATATTTGTATGACATACAGTTTTTGTTGGTGTTGCTGTTATTGATGATCGTGCTGAATTTTCTTCATCAGCTGATTGTTCACGTGTATTTGATGATTCATCAGCACTATAACGATCATTAACACTAAATGAACTTGTATCAGTTGGTATTGGATGTTGATTTTGTTCTTCATCTTCACCTTCAACAAGTTCATCTTCATCATCATCATCTGATGATGTATCATTACCTACTAATTTATCACTTTTATTACTTAAAGAATCATCATGTTCACTAGTCATTTGTATTACAACATCATTTAATACTTGATGAACATAATTAGCAGCAAGTGTATCAAATTCTTCTTCAGTCATTGATTCCTCAACAATTTGTTGTGGTGGGGGTGGTGGTTGTTGTCCAGGTAAAGTAAGTGCTAATGGTCTTTGACAACTACTAGTTGGTTCAAATGCATCAGAAAAAGCTGTTGTTGGTATATTATATGATTCAGAATGTTCTGAACTTGATTCTTTTTCCATAACATCATCAAAAGGTGTTGAATGACGTTGTTGTTGTTGTTGTTGTTGTATAAATTCTAATGAATTATCTTTTGATATAGTTGGTAAAAACTCTTCTGATGCTTCATTACTTGCTGTTCCTATACTATGACGTTTCATATCTTCAATTACTAATGCTGATTCGGATTGTGTACGATTTTGTGCTTGTAAATTTGTTAATACAAGTTTTTGATTAAAATTATGAACATTATCCATATTATATAATTCTGGACTACGAACAAGTTTTAATTTTTCTTCATCATATAAATCATATGCTGAATGAAAATGTGGTTGTTGCTGTTGTTGTTGTTGTTGTGATGATGATGGTGATGAAGATAAATTTTGTTCATTATCTAATATTTGTTTATCATTTAAATCTGTATTACTACTTAATGATGATGTTGATCGTCGTTTACGACGATTTTCCATAGCTTCTTGTACAATTTCAACTGGTTTTGTAACAAATGCTTTCACACGATCAAAAAAACCAATACCAGTTGTTGGTGATGATGTTATATTTGTATTTAAATTATTATATTCATTATTATCTGTTGATGTTGTTGTTGTTGTTGTTTCACGATAAATTTGTTGATTTTTTTGTGAATCATCATATAAAATATTTTGTTGACGATCAATATACTCATCTGATGGTGTTAAATCATCTTTATCAACTAAACATGATGCTGATAATGAATGACTATCATACATATGTATAGATGATGATGATGTACTAAAAAGACTATTTTCACTAGCTGTACGTCGTGCATGTATAACAGGTAATTGTCCTATTTCAATTTCATTTGATATTAATGAATATTGTTTTGTTGTTGGTTGTGTATCATTTGTATCATCTTCATCATATTTCATCATCATACGACTTGGTGTTGGTTCACTTGTATGTTGTTTATACATAAAATCATCTGCTTCATTGGTTGGTCGTATTGATGTATTAGGATTTAATAGAAGAGATTTTAATTCTTGTTCAGAATCAAGTGAATCAGATGAACGTTGTTTAAGTGAATCTTGACTCATCATCATTAATTCATTTATTGAATCATGACTCATTTCCATTTGTTGTTGTTGTTGAGATTGTTTTTGATTTGGTTCAGTTGATGTTGATTGTTGATTTGATTCATATTGAATAGTTTCAGTTGTATTTAAAGGTATTAATGGCTTATTATCTTTATGATCATGACCATCATCGTCTGAATCATGGTGTTCAGATAAAGATTTATCATCATCTTCAGCACATTTACGTTTAGATTTTTTCTTTTTTTCTTTATCTTTATTTTCATCAAGATCTTCTTCATGTTCATCTGAAAATTGTTGTTCTTCTTGAACAATAGTTAAATAATTTGATGACATTATTTCATTTTCATCATCACCAGGTGTTATTTGAATCATTGTATCTTCATGTACAGTTCGATTATTTCCAGTGGATTCTAATTCAATATGATGTTGTTGATCTGGTAAATTTTCATAACGTGACATACGTCGAAGATAATCAAGTTGAGCAGCTAATTCACTTGTTTTATCAATGGTACCATCATCATGAGAAAAATCTAATTCATCAGATATACTTGTAGCTGATGATTGAATATATGGTTTACGACGTTGATCAACAACAAGTGTTGGAACAGTTCTTGGAGCTGACTGTGGAACTTCTAATGACTAAAAATACGAAATAATATTTGTTTTTATATTGAATTAGTAGTACAGTTAAATACGACAATATAAGGCAAATTTAATAGCCCACTATCTTCCATATACATAATACTAGCTGTAATTCTTGACAGTAGACCAGCCTAACGTAGAATTCTTCCATTTAATTGTTTGAGTTTCCCATATACACTAACTAACAACAGGAGCAGGCGTATATATTACAACTTAGTCAACATTCTATTAGACGGATAATCCGAGACACAGCCGTTAGTGACTTGCTCGGGATCATTTCATAGCTGACGATACCACTACCTATGAAATACGTGCTGAACAATATAGCCACTCAGCTTTGCCAACTCGCTAGATAGGAACTACAGTGTTGCAACCTGCGGGTCGAATATGGGTGTGAATAGTAACAATTTCTGAAGACATAAACTTCATTTTTACCAGTACAATTCATAAAAGGATCGAAAATATATGGTTTTAATGTTGCTATTGAATTGCGCCATCTTTGATCGTCTAGTTAATTATTTGTTCTGTTAAACTATCAGCGATGTGTTAGAGTAATGTAACCCACAGACCAGGTACGGGTAACAAAAAGTGGAATCTATACAGTATTCTAAGAGAAGTTAGACTGGAAGGAGATCAGAATTTCAGCTCAAATTTGTCTCATTAGTTTTCATAAAAAATCTTATTCACATGAATAGATGTTACACTTGATAGTACGTAAAATTACGACATAGTACTTTATAGTATTCATTTTAATTAATAAGTAGTTCTCAGCGAATTGCACTTAATTAGGTGTTCAATCAACACTATGATGTATATGAACTATTGCTAGGAATAAGATTTTTTGTGAGAACTAATAAAGTAAACTTGGACATGGATTGAAAATTCATGTAATTTAGACTAAAAATTTACAATAACTTTTAAATAAACAGAATTATAAGTAAAGCACTTTTTTTTTCTGAACATATTCAAATGGATCTTCTCTGAGAATTGATGCAATCAAATCTAGCTATAGCATTATTTCGTAATAATCTGAATTGAAGAAATTTGACTATAAAAAAAATTTTTAAATTCATGATCAAAAATGATAAAAACATACATCTGATTGTATATTTTGTTGTGCTTGTTTAATAATTGTATTAATCAAAGCATGTAAAATTTGATTTTCTTCATGTTCATGTTGTAATTGTTCTTGAACTTGATCAACATCACTCATAGATGAACATGTAACATGAACAAATTCACGTTTATATAATGGTGATGCTGGTGGACTTGATGGTCGTCGTTCTGTACGATGTGAATATTTTTCTGATGTATTAGATTGTGAATCACGACGATATTTAATTATATCATGTGATAATTTATCAGTATTAGTTGATTGTTCATTATCTTGTTGTTGTAAACGTTCATTTAATTGTTCTGTAACATTATTTAATTCATTCATTAAATCACCAAGTTCATTTAGAGATTTTGATGATACAGGTATATCATGTTTTTGTTCTAATTTTGAATCAAGTTTATCTTCAAGTTGTTCTTCAATAGTTTGTAATTCTGCAACAAGATTTGTTAATTCAGTAGTTGATATTGTTGTTGTTATTTGTGCATTATTTAAATCATAATGATGAATTTCATCATTTTCTGATAGTGATGATGACGATGATGATGATGATGAATGAAGAATACCAACATTTTCATTGATTTGTTTTTCAAGTGTTTGTAATTCGTGAACAAGATCACCAAGTTCTTGTGTAGATTTTGATGTAACAACATCTGATACAGATAGATATGGTAGATCAATTGTTTGTGGAATAAATTTATGTTTTTCTTCAATATCATCATCATCAGATATTATGTATTCATCTTTAACATTTTCTTCTTGTTGTTTTTCTTGTTCGTGATCACTTGAACTACTTGTTCTTATAGTTGATTTTTCTTCATGTGATATATTAGGAGTAGTTTTAACAAGTGCTGACCAATCAGTTATATCACTTATTGATACATCTGCACTTGTTGCTTCTTCAATTTGTGATGAAATTATTTCATCATCATATCTTCTATGAATATTATCTATAACATCATGTACAATATCTTTTGCTGTTTGATATAATAAATAATTTAAATCTTGTTCAGTTGTTTCTCGAATAGCATCATTTAAAATTTGATCAACAATATCATGTGATGTTTGAATAAGAACTTTATCATATTGATTATTTTTTTCATAGATTTGTTGATCCGATGTTGAAGTTTTTAATAAATTTTCATCTGGTATTGAAATATCAAGATGTGTTGGACGAAAATCAGTTTCTTCTTGTTCTTCTACTTCTTCATCATCAGAATAAGTTGGAATTGTACGTGATATTATACTTGAACGTTGAATATGAGATGTTATTGGTGATTCAACTTCAATTTGTTCTTTATAATTTGATGTTTGTGGAATTTCAGTTTCAGGTGTTTCATTTGAATATTTCGTAGGTCGATATTTATCACCATAGATTTCATCACGTTGAAATGATGATTGTGTCCATTGTTGAGGACGTTTTAATTGTTCATGTTCAATTTCATAATCATCATCTTGTTCTTTTTGAAACGATGATGATTCAAGATTAGTCAAATATTCATCAATTATTTCACGTTCAAAACTTTGCGAAGATTCATATGGATATTCTAATTTTTGTGAAGTTTGTGTAATAATTTTATCATCTTGTTCATTTTCTTCTAAAAATTCCACAGTAGATTTTCCGGTACTTAAACTTGGTTCAAATTCATATTGAGATTTTAATTTATATGCATCATCATCATCATATTGTTGAGAAAAAGTAAGTGTAACATGTTCTGAACTTAATGGTCGTTCATATTCAGCATTTTGTTGTTTGATAGTTTCTAAAGATTCATGTATAATTTCATCTGCCATTTGTTTTTCTAGTGGTTCTTTATTAATTATTTGAGAACTTTTAAGAATATTTTCATCTTTTTCTGGTTCAATCAAATGCGATGATGAAATAATGATTTGATCAGGACTTGATTTATATTCTGATTTTTTTTCTTTAATTTGTTGATCAAATTCAGATGAAATTAGTTCATGTTGATCTTCATGTTCACTTAGTTGTGGAAATTGAGTAGGAATCTTTTCGGATTCTTCAATCTGTTGATGATATGTGATTGGTTGTTCATCATCATCAGATTCGATTGTTTGAGATGATTCAATAACTAATCGATTAATTGTTCGTCGCTCGTCTTCATGTTCACTTGTGTCAGGAGATTGTATAATGATTTCATCAGTTTCGAATTTTTGTTCTGATTGAATTTCTTGTTGATTCGAATATTTTTTTTCTAACATTTTAAGAAAATTTTCATCATCCAGATCGTCATCTAATTTTTGTGGCGATTCAATGTAAAATTCACGTCCATATTCATATCCTTCTTTTTCTTCTTCTTCAGATGATGGAGCTGATGCAACAATAAATTTAACCCTACTTAATTTTTGTTTTGATTCATCGTCGTGTTTTTGTTCAGATTTATCTTCATCGAATTTTTCTGATGTTTCAATCATAGTTTTGTCAGATGGACGTTGTTGTTCAACATTTTCATATTCACTTAATGCCAATGAGTTTGATTCAATATCTTCATCTTCAATTTTTTGTGGTACTTCAATCATAATAGCTTCTTCTTGTGGTTCAAATTTTTCAGAATATTGATCAGTATCAAACTTTTCCTCATAGCGTTCAATTGAACCAGTAGATTCAGTATGGTATATTTCAGGGGTTACTACTTTGTCTTGAAGTTTTTGACTTTCTTCTACATGTTCACCGGATTGAGAAGATTCGAGACTGATCTTTCCAGAACTAAGCTTTCTTTCGGATTTGAATACATTTTCGATTTCCTCATCAGTTCGATATGTTTCCTGTTGGTATTGTTTCAAATCAATTGTTTCAAATGGTTCAGGTTCAGAACTAAGTTTCTGTTCTTGTTCTTGATCATCTTTTATTTTGTGTTGTTTTTCTTCGATATCTTGACTAAGTCCAACGTCAACTTGTTCAAAACTAGAAGTTCGTTCAGATTGATCTTCTTCGTTTTCTTCAGGGCTTTCAACAAAAAATTGGTCAATACTAAGTTTTCGCTCAGGTTGAACTTGTTCATCTACTTCTTCTTCATGATCACTTTCACCAGGTGATTCTACATGAATATCCCTCCTGCTTAATTTTGGTTCGATTTCATAGTCATGTATTTCATAGATTTCACCGGTAGTTTTTTCAGGTTCGAATAATTCTTCATCATGATATCTTCTTTCTTCTTCGACTTTCTCTGAAGATTCAGTGATACTTTTATCAATAGTTAATTTTTCTTTAGATTCCAAGCGATCTTCTTGTTCATCTGTGTGTTGAGTGTCTACGTCAGGATGTTCGATAATTCGATGAACTTGTTGAACAGTTTGAGTAGCTTCAGTTTTAATCATGTCTGAACTTATTATAGACTCTGGTTGATATTGGTCTTCGTGTTCACTAGCCTCAGAAGATTCAATGCTGGGTTTTTCGAAGCTTGAACTTTGTTCAGATTCTTCTTGTTCTTCTTCAACTTCTTGGCGAAATCTAATTGGAGTTTCTTCAAAGCTCGAAGATCGTTCAAATTGACCGTCTTCGAGTTTTTCTTCGGATTCAACAATGACTTGATCGGTACTAAGTTTTCGTTCAGGTTGATATTTTTCTTCTTCTTCTTGATCACTTTCATGTGGTGATTTTATATGAATATCTGCACCACTTGGTTTTTGCTCGATTTCATATTCATCTCTTTCATGAACTTCACCAGCTGTTTTTTCTCGTTCCAACAATTCTTCAGCATGATGTATCTCTTGCTCTTCTTTGAATGTTTTCGAAGATTCAATAACAATTTTATCAGTAGTTAATTTTTCTTGAGATTCATCTTGATCTTGTTTTTCATCTAAGTATGAAGTACGTAATTCAGGAGATTCTATGAATTCTCGATCCGAAGAGAGTAATGATTCTTGACTATCTTGTTCAACTGTTTCAGTAGGCTTGAACTGGATCTTGTCTGAACCTGTGAGCGATTCTGGTTCATATTGTTCTTCTTCTTGTGCATGTTCACTAAGTTGTGGAGATTCGACAATGACTTGTTCGGTGCTTAATTTTCGTTCAATTTGATGGTCTTCTTCAGGTTCGTGTTTTACTTTAGGAATTTCTTGATGAAATGCGATCGGAACTGCTGCCAAGATTGAACTTAGTTCATATTGAGCTTCTTCGGTTATTCCAGAAGATTCAAGAACAACTTGATCTTCACTAAGTTTTCGCTGA